AACCCATTTTTTGAACAAATCCCCCCCCCCCCCAAGCAGCCAATCAGGTATTTTATCAAAATATCCGGACCCGTTGTAACAAAGAGCCAGTTAAGCCCTAGTTATTTATATTTCCTACAACCTTTAGGTTACCCGCCCGTCCGTCTAAAATCTAAATGTTTCTGTCCACCTAGTGATAGTGCACGTCTGTTATACCTGTTACGATTGACCACCTAGTGACAGTTCACGTCTGTTATACCTGTTACGATTGACCATCTAGTGATAGTTCACGTCTGTTATACCTATTACCATTGACCATCTAGTGATAGTTCACGTCTGTTATACCTGTTACGATTGACCACCTAGTGACAGTTCACGTCTGTTATACCTGTTACGATGCTGGTGAAATATATTGAAGACCTCCAGCAATGTATCTCTGTAAGTGAAGTCGAAGTCGTTGATCTCCATGCTGGCCACCTTGACGTCAGCCTGCAGCTGGTCATGGTGACTTCTTAGGAAATCAGCTCTAATCTGGAAGTCCTAAGGAGAGGGAAGATGCATACACAGACTGAATGCCAAGTAGGTTCTTAGAAGAATTTCAGCACATAGAATTTTAAAATACGTTTTGTAACAATCGAACGCTATATTATCAAAATCTAAGTTAAAATAAATGATTGGCACAACTAGAGTTTCAATCAGACATCTCTCCGGAGAAAGTCAGCCCTACCCCATCCCAAAACGATAGTACTCGGTGTCATCCATGGCTTGACTGAGTGTCGTCCATGGCTTGAGATGGAAATAGTTTTATATATACATTTGTTTTGTTTTATTGAATAATGTATGTTAATTAATTTTTTAAGTTTCTTGATTATGTTTGTTAAATTGTATGTACAACGTGGTCAGCCCAGCCCTAGGCTGGGGTACCACCCTATATAAAACCACGTATAATAATAATAATAATACAGAGAAAAATGTTTACAACAATAAAGCGAAAATATAATTATCTATTGAAAAAAAACGAATTAAGTGTCCTTCTAGTAACATAGCCAAAAACGAAGTGGCTATTCGCACCCGGGTACCAAAAGTGAGAGGTTGGGATTAAAAAACTATTTAAAATTGTATTGTTGGGTTTGTAAGACAAAATAAGGTTCAAATGAAAGATTATTGAATGTACCATATGTTTGTAAACTGAATTCTTCCGTTTAACTAAAATAAACTACCACAAATGACATCCGAATAGCACGGAGTCAAAATGGACCCAGACACGCAGCGCCGCCATTCGCACCTGGGTTTAAAGACTTCTTACTGGTTTGCATCTGAAGGCTAGGCTCAAATCTGTAATCTCCTGATACCGACAACTCAACTCTCGTCAAGCCGACAAAAAAAGTCTTCAAATATAATTATATTAATTTCTACACCGACGCTTTCGCTGGAGTTTGAGATTCTCTGGGTGCTCTTTGCCCTTGCAGCCGTTCCATCACGAAAGCCACCAAGTATTATGAATACGGTACTTATCAAAAAGCCATATATGATTTATAAAGTGGGCCAACAAATTCTGCCCCCTCCAAAAAAAAAAATAAAAAAAATGGTCACCGCTTCCACTCTTCTCTTCCCACGCCACCCTTCTCCGCACTTGAATGGATCCAAACTTACTTCCAGCTTGAAGAGTGTCGTCATCTCCACATCGGATTTTTTGGTGCTCTCTATTTTATCTTCCACTTCCTTTAGCTGGGTGGACGTTGCCGCCAGCCTGGGGAATGAACATGTGGACAATCTCATTGTGCTGCGGTTCTCGGGAACAAGTGTTGATGTTTTTTTTTTATATGCCATCAATAAATAACAGTATACGTATGTTGGTAAGCAAAGAATCTCATTACAAAAAGTAATGAAAATACAATTCATAACTACAGTATAACTTTAGCATTAGCCACAGACAAGACACACTTTTGGCACTACAGATGAAAAAGTTTCAAAATCTATTATTACAATATTTTCAACACCCCCCCCCCGTATTATGTAACAGCAAAGTGTTATTTGAAACCTATGCTTTGGAATTGGGTGGACAATCCGATTGTCTTTGTCTAGAGCTGTGTCCCCCCGAAGAATATTTTTTTTAAGGGCACCTCTTTCAAACAGAGCATGTCGATAGTTTTAGTAACAACTTTCATTTCGGCGCCCTAACTCAATCCGATACTTTTGGTCGGCATCGAGAGCAGGAGTTATACAACAAATATTGGTGGAGTTAAGAGATACTTGTCTCCGACACCCGATAAAAATTGAGACGGCCATAATGTTCAGATTCAACACTCTCCCTTTTCCCTCCTCATATCTACTGTCTAAGACAGAAGTCAGATTAAACCCTACCTCTTTACCCTCCTCATATCTACTGTCTAAGACAGAATTCAGATTAAACCCTACCTCTTTTCCCTGCTCATATCTACTGTCTAAGACATTAATTCAGATTCTACCCTACCCCCCTAGTTATCCACTGTCTAAGACAGAAGTCAGATTCTACCCTCCACCCTCTGCCATCTACTGACTGAGACAGAAGTCAGATTCTACCCTCCACCTTCTGCCATCTACTGACTGAGACAGAAGTCAGATTCTACCCTCCACCCTCTGCCATCTACTGACTGAGACTGCAAATATTCCAGCTTGTTGGTGAGCCGGATTCTCGGTTTTCTGATTTCTTCAAAAGCGTTGCTGGCCTGGAGAAAACTCATGCTATCCGCGTCGAAGTCACAGTCAGCTTCTCTGGACGTGTTGGTCCTCAACTCAATGCCGTGACCGAGCACTGACTTCATGAGCTCGTGGTGACCATCTAGGGATTGCTGGGGGGAAGAAAAGCATTTCATCAGTTAGGACCAAATCTATCTGTTAGATTTTATGAGTTTCAATGATTCACCATACTTTGACTTATATCGGTAAAAATATCT